CGATAGGAAACACATTGGTGTGTGCAAATTTAAAACATATAATTACTAAATGGGTGAAAATCGCTTGTGTCCATAATGCGCAAGGGGTTTGTCAACGGGACTGTAGTCCCAAACCATAGCTGGGGATTATGGGTAATGTAGTTTCTGCGGCCATCCTAAACTGAATTTTTTTCGAATATTACATTACATTACATTTAGCTGACGCTTTTATCCAAAGCGACTTACAATAAATGCATTCAACCAACAAGATACAAACTTGAAGAAAACAGAATCATATAAGTACATCAGGTTTCATAGAGCTAAAACATTCCAAGTGCTACTCAACTGGCTTTAGATAAACCAGCCCTTTGTTAGTATATAAGTGCTCTGTTAGCAGTTCTTTGTTAGTAATTCTATCTCTTGAAGTGGAGTCGAAAGAGATGAGTGCAAGATGTGCTTCATAGTCAAAACTTGAGCAGCACGACCCAATGTTTGGAAAAGAGGCGGCAAAAATATCTAATATAGGTTTGATGGTAAATTATATATTAACTGTAGATGAGAAATGTTGATAAATATAGTATAATAGGGTGTAAAACTAAATGATATAAATCCAGTAGATGCTTCCATGCAATAAATGCTCAGGTAACAGTTACCGATCACATTTATTCTGCAGGGTTTTCCAATAATTCCCTAATAATCACTGCAGTGTAACATTTTCGTTGAGTTCTACTAGCTGAACTTTCAGTGCTCTGACTCACACAAACATGTTTATATGAATACACCCTGTGCAGCCCTCTAGTGCAATGAGTGACCAGAAGGATTCATCGCTCTGCTGGCCTTGCTCCCTCAGCAATAAGGTGTCCTGTGAGCCAGATTTACCGTGTTTTCCCTCCCACTCCCAGTGGTATAAATCCTAATGTTGCTCTATAGGTGTGCCTCAGCTGGCAAACTGCAGGAAGGAGGACACAATGAGAGCTGGCCTGTTGCAGCTCTGCACCTAAGGTCTGTATGTCATTCTGACTGACTTGACCAAATTCACGCACCATTAAAAAGGGCCGACCATGTATCATTCAGCCACAGCAGTCACTGGAGGCAGCAGTGCTCAGCGGGCGCAAAGCTGACAAGCTTGGGCACTAGTATTGTCAAAGATTTGTTGGAAAGACACATTTCTATGATCAAGTATCTCCTTAGGGGAATACAAATCCTTCTTGTTACTCCACCTGTGCACTGTCTGCAACCCCTGGTGAGCCAAAAGGATTTTCCGGATGGTATTACAGAACCCAGTACAGCTCCAGCTGGTGTTGACATGAGGCTTTAGATCAGGGAGGAGTCTATGTTGCCTAATTCTTAAATCATGTCTCTACTATAAACTAGCAAAGGGACAAAACTAAAGATAACAAATCAATAAATAAGCATAAGGTTCACACATGGTATGTATTGCATGTTCACACACTTATCTGCAGCCGCATAGAGGTGAGAATAATCTGTATTATGTGTCTCTGTAAATATAGCTCAGTGTGGAGATTAGTGTGAGCTGGTCAGGCATCCCGCGAGGGAGACAGCTGAGCACCTTGCTGTGACGCAGCGATCTGGGAGATCAGACGTCACATGGAGACAGGCAGGATCAGAGTGAGAAGCCACAGGACAATAAGGGTCAAAGGGATCACAGAAGAACAAGGTGAATGCTTGCACAAATGCAAACCTATGCAGACATATTGGTGACAATGCTCTCAAAGACCCAATCAAAGTACCTTAGAATGTTAGATACCACAATTTGACATTTAGAAAGTGGGTTACTACGTTTACAATCCCTTTAACTCTGCCCTTTGGCTCGGGCACGGCCATTGACAACTTCTCCTTGGGAAGTTGGCACCGTCATTGCTCCTGCAGTGTCTTGCTGTTGTCATTGCGGCCCGGTCTCATGCTGAGACTTGGAGACTGGGAGCAGAGCTGACCCTAGCAACTTAACTGAGAATACCAAATCAAATCAAGGGACAGCTTTGGGTTGCATCGGAGTCAGCAAAAGTGAGAGGACACAGTGACAGACGGTGCAGTGTCACAGTGGTGCAGTCGTCCATGGCAATGCTTTGTTTTTAGGGTTAGGGCTTCTTTTGAAACACACTTATGAAGGAGTAGGCTTGGTTAGGGTTAGGGTTAGGGTTAGGGCTTCTTTTGAAACACACGTGTGTGTGTCGTCCATGGCAATGCTTTGTTTTTAGGGTTAGGGCTTCTTTTGAAACACACTTATGAAGGAGTAGGCTTGGTTAGGGTTAGGGTTAGGGTTAGGGCTTCTTTTGAAACACACTTATGAAGGAGTAGGCTGTGTTTTTTTTCACATCTTAACATGCACAAACCTAAATGACACCACACAAATTGCAAGATGACACTGAAATCCTTTATTGGACTTTCTTTAACTAAAGCCAAGGTTACTCTGCTAAACAAGTCATAGTTAAACCTATTAAAATAGTTTATTCATTTAGGTTATATGGACTGCAGCACAGCAATGAGAGAGACACCAAGACACAATTATCTATCTATATCTGGATACAAATCTAGAAAAGGGACAAATGATCGCAGTTCTAAAAATACCCATGTTAAAATACATTCCTATGCTTTTCTTTTGAATGTGAAGCTGCTGCTGAAACTTCTTGACTAATGAAGAATAATTGGAAAGTCAAAACCCCCTGACCGACAATAAAATCTGATACAGAACTACCAAGCGAAAAGGAGCCTCTCCCTTCTCCCTCTGCCCTCTCCTGTAATTCTGGGTCTGACATGATATTAAATCAGAGGCAAAACTCAATTAAAGAGAAAAGCTGCACTGATACAAAAGCAAGGAAGCCTGAATGGGGGAAGTGGGGTCAGAGAGATTTGCAGCGTGCAGAAAGGGCAACGGGACGGGACCTTCAGGAGGTAGAATCTGAAATGTTTACGAGTAGAGCAAGCATGTGCTAAAACTATAATCAATGTCTGATAATAGCTTCTACATTGGGTATCACTGGGTATGATGCAAAGCCGAGGAAGAAAGCTGCAAGACTGTGAGCGGTGGGTGTTGGCAAGGTGGACACACTGACTTGCAGTTAAGTGCTTAAACATCTTATCATTTATCATAGGATGTATGCAGATCCTTTGGCTATTCCCC